TGAATTAATTCAACCTTGGGCTTTTTCACTGTACTTAGCCTCAATGATCTTTGGATGGAGACTTTAATCCTCAGTTTTTCATAAGCAAATGGGTGTTATAATAATTTCTAGATGCAAACACAGAGGTCTTTGCAGACCACTCAGAAATTGGTGCTGCCGTTATTAGTCTACATAATGATAGCTGTATTGGTTAGTCTTTCTATATCATGATTTCTGTGTCTTTAGGCAATGGCTCCATGTGTGCATTAGATATATTTTCTGGCAGGAGGTGAAGGTTATAATAAGTGTTATACCTCTTGTGCTCTTAATTGGGTATCAAAGGAAATGCTATGTGCAAGTGATTGTTCTGCTCAAGTTCCACTTAGCTTACTCCACAGTGAGAAAAATAATTCTGAACCTGGATTGAACTGCAGTATAATAGAGAGGAATTTTATAAACAGCCCTGGATGCCATAGAGATATCTGCTTATTGAGGATATTATGTTGGAAAGCCAAAATACTTGAAAGAATTTCAGAGGATGAAGTTAAGCACAGGGCAGAATTTCCCTCTCGCTTACATTGATGTAAATTAAAAGCAACTGCTCTGAGTTCTGTGAAGTTTCCTTGCACTTGCACTTTTGGAACTGAGGGCAAAATTTGGCACATATGGAAAAAACAAGCAGTTTACTGTGTTGGCAATCTGTCTTGTGCTATTGGATACTTTTCTTGAGCTCTCCGAAGGTGCTGCAAGAGAAACTGCTTAATGCTGTAGATCGGTTCAGAGTTCTGATGACATTTTCCTTATGAAATTAATTATTAATACCCTAATCATTCACTTAAGATGTTATTAGTTTTCATTGATCAGCACTTCTTGCTTATCTACTGCCAGTCTAATCACTGTGCATGTCAGAATATCTGAATATATTCAATTAGTTTTCAACCCCCCCCCACTTACATCGGCAGATTAGAAGATAAGGATCCTTAGTCTTCTCAGCACATTGAACCTGGCTTTATTAGAAAAATCTTATCAACTCACAGAATTTTAACTCACAAAAGCAAGCAAAGACCTCTAATGATACCACTTTACTTTCTATTAGTTATGCAGCTTGTCTTGTAAACATGAAGGCCCCTTAACATCTAGACATTGGCTATATGAATAAATAATAAGAATGTATGTTTGGATGGACTTATTTATTTGTGAATATATCAGTGTTTCTTTTGGTTATTTCAGAAAAGGAGCCCGAATGTAAAGGGGGTACACCACCCTAGATTGTAATTTGGATGTTACAGGGGACGGTTTGCTAGGTGGCATTTACTAGGGGGAATGGAGGGGATCATTCAGTTTTGTTCAGCAATCCTTATACGTTTATTGATGAGTTTCGGAGCCAAGCGTGTAGAAGGGATTGTGCTTCAGACAAAACCCCTGGGGCCCATGAAGGAAAGGAGCCAGGCTTTCCTGAAAGTAAACTATGTCAAGACAAATAGATAGGAGACATTCAAAAGTTTTACAGGATTTTGCCCCCTAGCTGGCCTGCTGGTAGCACAACATGGTGTCATGCAGAAAATTGGAGTTACCATGTAGCCAATCAGTCCTAAGCTGTTTATACCATTTGAGATCTGGGGAAGCAGTGTCCTGGACTGCTGATCTCACTTCCCTCCAGCAACAATTACTTTCTGGAGGTAGCCACAATCAGGCACGCTCAGCAGGTCAGCTCCAGAAATACCGAAGGCACTGAAGCTATCAGATGAGAGAGGGATGATAATACAGTTTTGGAAAGTTCTTCAGAGTGTCCTACGCAATGAACTACCTCGTGGAAGTAGCTCATGACCCTCATTGTGCCCCAGCAAGGAGAACAAGTGAATTTTAGAGATGAGAACATTGGTTAAGATGGCCAAGGGTTTTTAGATGGCTTTTGCAAAGCCGCAGAGGAGGTAGATCCTATTTTATATTCTGACCACATCCCTCATAAATATGGGTTCTGTAGCAAATACCAAAAACATCCACAGTAGCCGCTCTTTCTTTTCTCCATAATCTCTCTGGGTGACTTAAACAAACTGACCGGTTTCTCTGTGACCCTTCATATGCAAATGTTATTGATATCACATGGAAAGATAGGTTCTCAACGAGCATACAGAGCTGTAATCTGAAATCTTATTGTAATGTCTCTCTTTTTTTTTTTTTTGTCTCCTTCCCCCCACAGATTAAAGGTTGTATAAAATTTTAAAGAAGCAGCATTCTATTCACTAGTTATTGGACTTGAGCCTCCTTTGACCTCGGAAACTGAAAATGAGGTTGCTATGGGAACTGCTTGTGCTGCAATCATTCATGTTGTGCCTTGCAGGTAAAGTGTCATTTTAAAACTTTTTTTTTTAATTTAAAAATACCACTGTGTTTCACACTAATTCAGGAGTGTACGGAGTTTTGTATGCCCATAATGAAACAGCAAAATAAGAACCTGCTCCATGACCTGCATTAACGAAGATTGCTGAATAGACCGAACTGATGCTCTTAACCAGCTCCTTTAATATTGATTAGTATCTCCACAGCTACAGCTTCCTATTTCAGATATCTGTTCTATCCATTTTTTAATTCAGAGTTGCTGTTGACAAAACCTATTGTTTTCCCCACGTTCCATGACAAGCATTTCAATGCTCAATTAAACACCCGTAAACTATAGCCTTCTGAAAGGGTATTGTAAGGAGTGGCATAGCTCAGACCAGCTTCATTTAGCCAATAATTAGAATATTATGGTGCAATACTCTAATAATCCTTTTAATCTCCTATAGCACTGCCCTCAGTGAAGTCGGTCCTCACTCTTCCCTTGAAACACCCTGATACCAAGAGCAGTAGAGCTGATTGAAATGCTCTTGAGAAAATTAAGGGATGCTGAAATATTGGGTTGGAGGTGGTTCATATTTGGGATTTTTGGTGAGATAAACTGACTTTTTCACACTCTATCATTTGGTGCTGAGGGCAGTAGTTTTGGCTGTGAGGCCCAGATTCAAGTGCTGCCTTTACCTGTGAAGAGTCATCTGTGATGAAGCACTCTGCTCTGAAAGTGGGACAGGGACTTGAACTTCCACCTGACAGGAAGTCCTCTAACCAGCAAGCTTTAAATATGCTCTGATAATCACACTTTCTTTCTGTCCTCTCACTTCCTACTATTTTCCCAAGAAAGAAAAGTTTTATTTTTAATCCAATGTGGAATGAAAATGAATTTCAAAGTCTATTCTGCCAGTTAGTTCTACCCAACACTCCTCCAACCATCTGATCCATCCGTCTCTTGCACCTACTAAGCCCCTCCTGTACTTACATAGCCCCTTCCTTCTTGACACCTTGCTGTTCCCTGTGTCCAATCTTTGTTGACTTCCAGAAAACTCTCTCAACCAGTATTGTTTTGTAACTCAATGGTCTTACCATCAGTGCATAAATGGAAAACAAATGCTGGACAGTAGATAACCTACAGGGGTAGATGTTGGAGAAGGGGAGAAAGTAGGTGGGACAAAGAATGTCTTGACACATGAATGTCTTAGGAAAAGTATTCTAGCACTGTCACTCCCTTCCCAGTGCAAAAACCCCTATACTATGGTCCCTAAGTCTCCCCTTCAAACCTGTAGAAATATCTAGTCTCCAACAAAGAAGCAACCTGCTTTCTGAAAGTACCGATCTTCAAAATTACTCAGAACACCACATTTGTAAAAAACCTCCTGTTGCGAGCGCATGCTCCCAGCTAAGCCTTTCATAATCATTTTTTCCCTAGAACTGATGCCTGCTTATTTGTTATTTCTCTAGAGGGATGAGTAACTTGTCCTAAGAAGCAAATGCACTTGGGGATTGTAGTCAAAGCAAGCATGCCATAATTCAGACAAACACACAGTTCCTTTACAGACAGTGGACTCGATGCTAGTCTCACATGCAGGGGTGTAAAGCAGGGATAGCTGCACACAAGACATAGCCAGTGTAGAGATCAGAATTGGGTTCAAATTATTATGAAAAGCTGTTTAGAAGCCAGAACAATAAAATTGTCCATGAGTAATAAAGAAATACACTAGGGCTGGTTAAAATGCATTTGAATCATTATTTTCCCATTCTGCCTTCATTGATGGCTTTTTCATTACATTGTATTAATATTCTTTAACACATGCTTTGTTCTGAGTGGGGGCAGTTAGGTTTTAATTAATGTTTTTTGTCATCTTGTTGTTCGTCTTGATTATTCTAATTTATCTGATGCTTGGTACTTGGAATTTTTAACTAGTTTTTTTGTTGTAAATAATTTGTGTCTTCTTCCCTTTTATATTTTATATATCCATGGTACTTTTTAGCATTTTGTAGGAGTCAAACCATCTGAAAGTGCCTTTATTCTCTTTTATTCTGCATCACAGGCTCAAAGCCAGGTTTTTTCAGGTACCTAACTTCTGATGCTCAAACTGGAAAAATTTCACGATCTTTTTTTTTTAGTTCACCCTGGCAATTTATGAGCTGCACAAAAACTAGCTCAATAGAATCTGTTGTATACTCATGTACAGTTCCAGAGGTTTTAATATTCTTACTAGAGGGTTGTTTTTACATATGGGTAAAGCATGCTTTTATATTGTTTATGAAAACAATAAGCCTGTTATTTCCATGCTAGTAATTCGCCTGTTAGCCTGTTCTGCATTATAGCTAAAACAACGCAATAAAGGAATGTTTCAGGTGGTAGTGGCTGGGATGTTAGGCCTCACGTTCTTTATATCACTAGTCATTTAAGGATAGAAAATACAGTAAAACTATCATACTAAAGATGTTCTGCAACTGAAATTCTTCCTACTCTTAGGCTTTGCATTGTCACACTATAAAGCCAGTTTCTCAGGTCTGGTTAAATGGTATTGCGTATAGGGACGGAAGGAGGTATTTTGTGTAAGTTTGAGGTCAGGTGACAAATAAATTAGATTTGGCTTTGTGGCAGGAAGGAAAGGTGCTGCTGATTTGGAAATGTTTATGCCTTTGAACTCCTGCATTATTGAGCGTGTCTACACATGGCAGTATGGCAGTACTCAAAGTACTTTGGAAGTACTAGAAGATGGTGCAGTAATAGGCTGTACTGCACCGGGCCAGCCACACATGGTTATTTTTGGCTGCTCCGTTGCTGTAGCAGTGCGCTATAATGAGGAAGCTCATTGCAATGGTGACATAGTGGTGGCATCATGGTTTTTGCTAATGGATGCTACAGTGCCATAGTGTCTTGTGTAGATGTGCCCGTTGAGTCTTTAATGTTTGCCCTGCATGTCTCATGTTTGAGAGGTTTGTTGGTTTGTTTTCTCTAAGTGACATCTAAATTAAGTAAATGAAATGTGATGGACTGAGGTTGCCTTAACTTATTGTGTAACTAGGCATGTAGCAAACAGCCCTGTGCTCAGGCCATATTCCCTTTCATGGGAGAAATGAGACCAAACACTGGGAATGGGAGTGAAAATTAATACAGTGAATAGTTACTAATTCAATAGCAGCTTTTACTGTATAGATTTCATGTGTGGCAGTGCACTCTATAGTATTACAAACAAGAATAAATCCAAATGTAAAGGACACATTCCTAACACTTAAAATAATCATTTCTGTTGCAGCTTAAAGAAAACTACCTTTCTACCACATTTCTAGCTGTAAAAATAATGTAAAAGCTATTTCTTCTATTGCATTACTGTAAGTCAGAAGTTCCTAGGAAGCCTTCTGGTAGGTAATGAAGGTGGAATGTGAAAGTAAATGGCTCGCAGGAAACAGTTCACCAGTTTTGAAAATTGAACTTTTGTGCGTTTCGTCTTGGGAAAGATGTCAGACTGACAGGTCAGGGTCCTGCTGTCATCTTGCAAACTACAGAACAGGAATATCTTTGCCAAGATCACCCCATCAAAGACCCACCTGGAGGTGAAAGGGTCCTTCTGCCTCCACGATTCTTTGTCCCTTGCTTCTTTTCTGAGGTTGGTGATGGGTGCTTTCTGACACTCATTTCGGTGTTAGTTTGGAGTTTGTGTTGTGTTTTGCTCTGTTTTTAAATGAACATCTGTTCCCTGGAAATTGTGTGAATGCTTCCAAAGTCATACCATGGAGGCTATTAAACAGCTGTCAAATCTAATGCAACCATTGTCATGGTATTCAAATGCTACCTAAAGGTACCAGTTTTCAGGCAGTACCAGTGTGCCAGGATCCTAAAAGAAGGAAGTGCCAGAGAGTCCTTATGGTCTTTTGCTATTGATTCTCCATGCCAGATGCTCACAATGGTGATGTGCATCAGTATAAAACCCAAGAGAGACAGGTAGAACAAACCTGGACTTTATGTATAAACCAGTTACCTAGATATAAAAGTCTCTGCTAGTAAGTCCTGAAGCCATGCAGTTTTTGCTCACATACAGCACTCCTGGAGGTTCTCTTAAAACTAAATGAAAGTCCCAAAATATCACTTTCAACAGGTACTCTATATCTGAGATCAGATCTACAGGGTCCAGTTCTGCTTTGGCAGTCCACGATCCTTTTGATCAATACACTGCACATTACAAATGTTATCTATCCTCTTAGGAACGTTGCTATATTTTCTAGCATCATTCCCTTTAAATGCCAACTTTGGAAAATGTTACGCCCACTAATTGCTGTAATATTACTGTGCCAAACAACCCTGATTTGTTAAGGCTGTAAAATTCCTCAAATGGGTATTGTGAAGCTAATAATTGTAAACACAAGGGAGAATGGCCAATAAAAAAAAAACACTTAGCTGGATCTTTGTTAATGCCTACTCTCTCTTCCTTGGAAAGTGTGATATAGCCTTATGTTAGAGGATATAAGCATGAAGATTAGGATTGTGAAGATGAAGCTATGGTGTGCAATAGACCAAATTCAAAGATATGGCTCATGGGGTGGATCTGACCCATGGAACCACATCATCCAGTCCCCAGTACTGTTCCTGAGTCTCAAGTGGACCTACATACTACATGTGGCATGCACCAAACTAGCACCACGTGTAAGGCCTAGGACATGCACCACAAACAGCGCCTGCTCCAGGACCCTCACTGCAGATGGCACCCACGCAGGGCCAATCCAACGCCTCCCCCCTGCATGCCAGATCCAGCCACTGTGGTGCCCACTTTCGCCAGCCAGGGGCACGAGCCACCAGCAGTACCTGCAGCACAGGGTCCAGGGTGGGCTCCATATGCATTGTGGGTCTTCGATTGGGTGCTACATATGGCACAGTCACGGACAAGCTAGAGTGGGTGCTGGGTCTGGCATGCAGTGGGCAGGGGTCTATGGGTCCCCAGCATGCCCGTTCTGACCAATCCAGGACTGTGTCCCCTCCAGCCAGTCTGGGACCCATGCT